CAGCCCCCAAAACCCTCCCAACCACTCCTTGCAGAGATATGGCACAAAATTTTCCTTAATTATTTCACTTGTTTTTGGTTTTCCCTATCTTTTCTTTTGTTGTTCTCTCTCGCTCTTTGTGCCGCTGTTTATCAATTATAATTGCTGAAAATGAAATGTTTTATACAAATTATTAATGCCTTATCAGTTTTTTTGGGGAGGAACACATTTCAGACTTTGATTCGCTGCTAAGTAAGCGGCTTGGTGCCTCCGGACTCTGCAAATTCATTCTGATTCCGACAAACACATCGAGGAGAGTCAGGGGGTGTCAGGTAAGGGGCTCTGTCAAGGGGCACTGACGACAGCAGAAGCTTGATAAGGCCTCCATCCGATTCACGATTGCCGTTCCGATTTCGTCTTCGATTTCAATACCAAATCAATTTTGGCACATGGCACACACGTTTGGAGGCACGTTCGTTCGCCGATCCATCGTCCGTTCCGTAAATAATGAGTTCTGCCAAATCTCGAGACGTCTCTTATCGAAACCGGCCCCCCATCGATGATTAGTCCAGTCCCGGGGCACAATTTAATCCAATCCAATCCATAACTGGCTCATCATGCCGGATCTTCAGATAAAGAACCATCACCACAAATGGGACATAATATTGCCATAAATGAATGATTCGGTCGACTTTTGGGTTTATGAGTTGACTAAATTTAGAGAGAATACATTTTGTAGAGTATTCCTGGCGATGGCAATCTAATCAGACGAACCGACACGCCCAGCCCCTGATGGATGGCTTTGATTGCAAGTCGGAATGAATGCGAATCTGTTACACTAACATTGCTTATCATCTGACAAATGGTAAACGGACGAACGATCTCCCGCCAGTCCGCTTGACGTCAGTCCGCACTGCAGCAGGAGGGAATCGGGAAGGAAGGGCATGGGGAATGGGTCTGGCCTGCTGCCATATGGGCGCACCCTTCTCTGTCTCAAGCGATGTTTTAATCTAATTAAAATGCATCATTCCCTTTCTTATAAGTCAAACAAATAGCGAGCTGTCCATCATTTGGCTGAGAGTTAACGACTTGCGTGTCGTTACGTATACGACAGGTGTAACCAAACAGAAATGCTCTAAACGGGTCTAATTGTGCTCCGTGCAAGGGTGTAGCTGTCACCTGGTTTTAGGTCGGCAGAATGAATACAATTTCGGCTCCTTTGGCCTGAGGTTTTTTTCCAGTGTTAATCACGATGTCCCCGCAAACGGACATTGTTTGAGGCGTGCTGGCGCCAACAACCTTTTAATTCGCTAGGCAAATGTTTGTCTAAGATTTGCATTTTATAGCACCCTATGTGAGGGGTATATCTATGTGGGGATGCAGCGTGCACCCCCAGAGAAATAACAGCTCTGCTGGTTATCCAACAATCCCGCAGGCTATTGTTTGCTGATTGACCACTTGATTCGCTTCTGTTCAGCCAATAAAAATCAATTGAAAAGAGTATCCGCAGTTCGCTTGCTCTCCGCTGATTGTTGGGCATTCAAATAAGAAAATATACATATGGGCATTTATGTGTGTGCCGTCTAAGCGTTTGGGCAAACGTCTCATTACAGCGCGGAATTGTGTGAATTTCTAGGGCATATTTGAGATGCCATCTGGGCGCGTAATTGAATTGCGTCCAATAAGCTCCAATTGTCCGCATTGTGGGCCGATCGAATGGCACTTATCATGCCATCAACACTGGAAACTTTATTAAACTCTTTGTGGGTGTGTACAAGGGGGCTCTAGGCGTGGGCGTGGCACCTGATTAACACCCCCGAAGATGGTATGGTATGTATGTGTCTCTGGGTCAGACACTTGGCAAACATTCAAAGAGGAAGATCCGCAATGAAAATTACATATTTTCCGCGTATAATAATTTGGTTTTAATTGCAGCTACTCGTACTAAGAATAGAACGTAGCAATTTGGACAAAGTGTGATCATCGCCGCTCATGAAGAGCCATTTCCGCCGGAGGTTATCCCAAGACCTGCACCCGTATCCCGTGCCGAAAAAAGATTGCCTTGAGTCACTCGACAAATCTGCGTGCGCGGGTCGCACTGCGACTGCAGAATCTTATCTAACGAAAGATTTGTTATATCATAAAAAAGTAAATGGGATAGGGGATTGTGTGGGTCTTATCATTGCAGAGGGGTGCTGATTTATCATACCCAAGCTGTGACATCATTTGGCCCTAGAACAGAGAGTGTTCTTGGAAGTTCCAAAGACCAGATTCGCACTATGTACAAATGTATGTAAATATGTACACAGGTATCTTTCCATGACTGGCCAGAAAATGCTTGAAACAGAAATGAAGTTCGTTGTGAAATGGTAATTAACTATTCATTATCATATTATATTTAGTTTGATGGAGAAGTGGCGCGGGCAAGCAGACGACGAGGTGAATATAAATATCATTTGTGGAAAAACAACAAACAGAATTGAGTATTTGCGTTAACAGTGCGAAATGATTAACGCGATAACCTCCGCAGGCCCCAACCACAAGTGCCAAAAGAGAGGGAGAGAGCAGAAATCGTTGGGAGAGAGAGTAAGAGGGGAGTCAAATGGAGAGAGAGATAGAGACAATGTGCGAGGCGCCGCACTGTGTTAATTTTTGTTGCCATTTTGCAGCTTGACTTTTTGCACAGACACACACAGGCAGCCAGGCAGGCCCCAATCCAACACACACACACACACACACACACACACACACGCACATACTGTTAGGTGTTCGTTCTTCTCTCCTACAGAGCTTCTCAGGCGCTCTGGCACTCTCGCTCTCTTGATCTTTGATCACGTTTCCCGCACACGACGGCACCCAGTCGGCCACTCGGCGCAACGTTCACGTGATAACCATGTGCTCTGGCCTGCTTCGTCTTTATTTACGGTACGATTGTGTGAGTGTGTGTGTGTGTGTGAGTGAGTGGCTTGCTTGTTGTAGGCGACTAATGTTCGGGTCGGTGCAAAAACGAGTCACAAAATGATTTTGCTGATTTTCTGCGAACGGAATCGAATGAATTGAATACCTGCCTGCCTGGCTGCCCGCCCGACTGCCCCCTCTCCGCTGACGTAAAGCGCCAGCCCCACCGGGTGTAGCAATTTCATCATTTGAGACCGCTTCCTCCTAACCTTAAAACAAACAAAGGCAAAACTGTCGACTCACATTGAGTCGCCCGATAATCACGCATTTCTCACTCCGCCGACTCGGACGCTGAGATTCCAGTCACTTGGCTGGCAGTCACACGAAATGGTAACTGTTCTTACTGATAGCACCGGGCGGAGAGCATTTAATGCGCCTTTTATTACGATAAGATCTCTCTGATTTCGTATAAATAACTCCTCCTAAATGGCTTCTTAATGGGTTTATTTCATTATCTCAAGCTCTCTTGGAAAGAAGCTCAATGTGGGGGTTTTTGGTCGAAATTCCAGTGCACGTGTCCGGGTAATGGAATGGGCTTACAGTCAGGGGCTACACCATGTCAGGGGCTGAAGCTCGTATGCAAATTGTGTTGCCGAGACTCAAATACACTCGGATTCTTGTCAGACGACTACTCTACTTACAATTATATATTTCTGTGTGTGTGTGTGTGTATATAGCAGTATATATAGCACTGCCCTTGTTCATATCTCGTGCTTGAAACAAAAAGAAAAAGCTTTATTCAAATTTCGCTTATCAAGTGTTTTGCGCCATGTTCCCGCTTCCGTTTCGTCTTCCCTAGCATTCTGCTGGCCGAGTTCGAAGCTATAAAATGTGCACGGCATTCAGTTATGGCAAGAGATACGCCTAAACTGGGGATTAAGTGATTGCAGTAATTGATTTGCCAGCTTGGATCAGTGAGTTTGTGATCCCCATAACTGTGATGGGGGAGATTACGTTACTGTTAACTGCATACACTAAAACTGAACATCTTAAAGGAACCTGACCCATTTGTCCCTTTGCATGACCAACTTTACTGCGGCGCATAAACCGAATGTCGTGCAGCAAATTGAAATTGTCTGATATATGGCGCCGTGAACTTAATCAGCAATTTATTTGCCATTCAGATAGTCGGAAAATAAGTTAATTGGTACATTTCGTGTCCGTCAATCCACGTTCAAATATCTTAAACAACTCTAACTACTTGGCTTGATAGATACGAATTTCCAGATCCATTTGAATTGCGCGCGCATGGTGTGACCAACTTGTGGCCATGTACTTGCCAGACGGGTGTATGAACTTCGATGGAATTTTTTGTGACATGGTTACCTGTTGTCGACACCTTAGTTTTTGATACAAATTTCGCACCATGCAAGCTCCCTTGCTTTGTTAAGGGATTTTGAAAGCTTCGCACTTTGCGAAGGGAGTTTGAACAGCTGATGAGAACAACTAAATATACAATAAAATATATTAATATTTAAATATATTAAATATATACATAAAATAAAATAAATAAAATCAAATAAATCGGTGCTAAGTTAGACTATAATGAGGATTTTTAAAGATAAAGATTCTATAAAGATAGAAGAACTGCCCCCCAACCCACTCAGAGCCAATTATAATACTTACTTATGTTCCCTTTGTGCAATTTTCAGGAAAACGATAGAATTTATATTCGTCTTCTGTTGCGCACGCTATTTTCCAAAAATTTGCAATGAAATCAGTTAACATGTGTCTCTACATGTTACATACTGAACACAAAGCTCCCTTGCTTCCAGAAGGGGTGATTTGAATGAAAAATGCAAATACGAATTTGTAAAATATAAGGTCATAAGCATTATAATCCAATAAAAAATAGTATTTAAAAAAAGCCAAATTGATTCTTCAATCGGATTAAATTAGTGTTAAAGTGATACAAGTCTCTGAAAGCAGGAAATATCAAATAGAACATTAAAATCGAGGAATATGATTTAAGACCACGGTATATTTATGGTATATTTTAATTTGAGAAGGTATATTTAGGTATCTTTCTTGACGTTCAGTCGGTATTTTAGTTGAAAACTCTGCAGTCACACTAGCGGTCACACTAAACAATAAATAATAATTAAATTTTGAATCAAATCTCCCCAACGTAAACACGGAAAGCTCGTCTGCAGTCGTAAGTTTATAACCGCGATCGATTTTGTCTTTAAACTATTATACTTTTAAACAAGTACATACATACAATTTCAAAGCATGCACACGCACATAAAAGTGTTCTCGAGAGGCACGTCCAAGAATCTCTTTGTCGTGTCGTTGGGCACAAACGAAATTTTTATCAATTTACGAATTAAAACCCGTCTGCAGCCAGCAGCCGCAAATGCACAGGGTACAAAGTTCGTTTCGTGTGCATTAGCTTGAGCCTGTGTCTGTGTGGGTGTCGGTTGTTGTCTGTGTCTCTCAAACATGAATACGAAAATGCCTGAACAAAAAATTTCAGCAGGCTGATGCGAGTATACCCTTACCGTTTTGGCGATCAGTAAGAAGTAATTGAACTTGCTTGAAATTTTAAATTAGTGATTGGTTCTGTTTGTTTTCTAATACTTGAGCTGCCTCGTTGTGAGAACGTAAGACTATTGATGTGCAAAATGTACACAGGGATAATTCTGCCTTTGCTTGTGCATTACAAAATTATAATACCTCCCGCAAGGGTATCCAGACTACACATACACATCATAAATGAATTATAATCCAAATCTGAACGTGCCTGTTTTCACAGTTTCTGTCCAACAGCTTCTTGTGCAAGTCGTCTCCACGCCGAACTGATCTGATCCCCCTCTCAATCTACGGCCATGGCTGCGCACTTCTTTCGCACTGCATTTTACGCAACTGCAGCGAAAAAATCGATAAGTCTACCGTTCGCTGCCGGCCGGACAGCTGCAACGCTAGCCGTGGGCCTGTCCTTTGGTGGTAAATGTTTGAATGTAGAAGAATCGCGCTGCTCTATCTGAAAATGAAACCATTCAACTCACGTTTATTTATACCTACACATATTTATTTGTCTCTGTACCCATCCCGATCCGCCATTCGCCTCATGCACAGCACAAAATAGCCGCAGCGCTGGCGCTATCCCGTACGAGAATGTCTACGCAGATAATTTCTTCAGTGGGTGCGGGGGCGCCGTATCCACCGGCAGCAAGGGCCTGCTGCGTCCAATGGCCGAGTACCGGGAGATCCAAAGGCCGCTATGTCGCAATTTCTCGAGCTTGAGCACCGGCGGGCCGCAGGAGGCACATGTAAGCATTACCACTACATATTCCATTATATATTGTTGCATCTTGTTGGCTTTTAATTGAACTTTAACCTGTAACCTGTAATGGGCCCCCACTCCGCTTTCCTATAACTTGCTTTTATCTTCTAATTGTGTGTGGGTTCTTTCGGTTCTCTCTTGAGTTATCTTCTTTTCCTTTTTGAATTTGCATGCTTCAAATGATTTCCTCTGTACTTTGCACCCGGCATATGACTTCTCTCTCTCTCTCTCTCTCTCTCTTTGTATGTCTCTCTTTCTCTGATTTGTTATACCGATTAGGTGTTATATAGTTTTTTTAGAAATATATTTTATTGTTTTTTTAATTGCCTGCAATTTGTGGGGAGACCCATTTAACGCTTGAGGTAGCCAGATAATTATTTTCATTGGAGTATTTTGATTGCTAGCTGCGATACGAAATGGTCTGCTGGATGCCATATCCTTGGGAGTACTCTTGGAACCACCCTCGCCGGGCAAGCTTCGATCAAACACGCTCAATTGGGGCCAGCAACAGCAGTGGCAGCTTTTTCCATGATATACACACATCATAATGGCGCTCAATGCCAAGCTTTCGCCCAGAGCCCCCCAAAACGTATGGCACTCTCATGAGTTCCAAGCCACACGCTGATTGTACCTGTCACTCCATGCACGAAGGGGTATATTGGGTTATACATACATCAATACTAGAAGACGTCTTAAAGAGTAGACTAATTTGTGCGGAGGCTGCAATGAAAAGATCTCTCAGAGCTACAAGCTGAGAGCAATTTATACGTTCTGATTTCTCGCTTGGGTATTGCCTAGTCGAGGCACTCTACTTTACCCTTTCCAGTGCCGCAATGTAATTCAAGCCGACGCCACATACTATTCTGATCCCTATTATACATAAAGAAATACATACAGATGTACACATGGTCTCTCCCTCACACACAAAGCACGAATAACTATTTTCCATTGGAAGTAAGCTCAGCGGAATGCCACAAAGCTATGCCACGATCGTCCCACTAGATATCGGACCATTTAGTCCGTCGTTGCACCTGCTTCCCTGGTCATCTTTTGTTCCATAATGGATTTCCTAATTGGAATTACGTTGCTGGTCGTATTGGTGGTCGTATTACTTAAGGTCTATCGACGTCTGAAACGTGTGAGTGGCACCGTGAACCAAAAGTTCAAGTTCAAAATGTCAAACCGAAGTGAAAGTATCTCGCTCCTTCTGTCCACCTCTCTGCTCTCAAATTCTCTGGTCGATTGCTGTTTAACTTATGTGATACTCTTCTTTGTTGGTTCGTTTCATACATCTAAAATTGCAACACCTTATCGTTGGGTTTGCCTGGCTATCTGCGAATAAAGGTGCTATCAGTTGGTTTTAAGGTCTTAGCCACAGAAAAAAAGAACCCTGAGTCGAAAACCCACTGCTTCCCCGTTCATTTGGTATTCAGCATTAGCGGATAATTGACGCTTGACAACGCTCCAGCAGCTCCTGATAATAATACTCGGTAATAATCGTTAATACGGATATGACACGGTGAATGGAAAGACAATTATCGGGCGCATCGTAAATTACAGAAAAAAACAATTATTGGATATTAAAATTTGTATTCAAGCGAATCAGTCAGTGTTGAAGTTTTTCTGTCCTTTAGCTATATGACATCTTATCTTTCCCCTCCCCAGTAACGGCTACAGTTTCTATAAATACAAGTCAACACCTGCGATTTATCAAGAACTAACCCTTATCGTCACGTGTACAGTGGCAAAACAAGGTCAGCCCTGCTAGCAGCGGAAAAAGCAAAGCTTTATCAAGTTTTCCCGAAATTTGCTTGGATATATTACCCAATCCCACTACAAATTTAATCTCTCGCTGAGACTCGAACCGATCAGGCCATACTGCCCACTTCAAACTTGTATTTCCTATCTAATCGAAACCCAGAGCTGGACCTATCCAAACTAAATAGATTACCCCATAACATAACCACTATCGATAGAGTCTAGACCTGTGTGCACTTGAAGAGATCATAAAGTACCATGCACAGAAGCTCAACAGGACATATCGGTATTTATTCTGTGACTCATCTGAAAAATTTCCATTCAGCATTCAATGCGACTGAAAAATATTTCCACTAATCCACTATCTATTCCGTGTGTGTTTTCCAGAGCGCCATGGCACCGTTGAAGAATCGTCGGTATATATCGTCGCAAGATATTACCAAAAACATGACTCTATACACTAGCAACAAAGCGAATGTAGATGTGGATCCTAAGACGCTAGAGTTTAAGAACCCGACTGGCAATCCTCTGGTCCTGATGATGGCCTGGCTGATGGCTAAGCAGAAACATCTGAAGAAATACGCCCAGATCTATACGGAAATGGGTTTCGATGTGATGGTGGTGCATATTACGCCCTGGCAGCTGTTGTGGCCCGTTAAGGGAACCCAGGTAAGGAATTCTATAGCCATGCCAATGTCAATTGCCACCTGTGCCAACAATTACAATTAGTCACTTAATCATTCGATTACCCATTTCAGGTGGTGGCCGCCGAGACTCTGAAGTTTCTTGAAAACAACGAATCGTATGGACCGATCGTCATGCATGGCTTCTCCGTTGGAGCGTATCAGTTGGGCGAGATAATGTTGCAGATGTCTCGCGATATGGATCGTTATGGCAGTATACTGGAGCGCTTCGTTTGCCAGATTTGGGACAGCGCTGCCGACATTACCGAGATTCCAGTAGGCGTGCCCAAGTCCATCTTCCCCAAGAACGAACGCATGCAGGCAGCCCTGAGGAACTACACCCTTTACCATATGAAGACATTCCACAACCAGGCCACCATTCATTATATGCGCTCCAGCCAAATGTTCCACTCCACCCTGCTCAAGGCCCCGGCGCTGTTCTTCGTCTCTGACAACGATCCGATCGGCCCGCCTTCGTCGAATCAAGCTGTCCGCGAGAATTGGGAGAGGGCCAACGTGAAGGTCACTTTCAAGTGCTGGGAACGCTCCCAGCACGCAGCCCACTTCATGAAGCATCGGGATGAGTATCTGCAGACTTTGTTCAACCACCTGGAGGTCTGTGGCGTACTCGAGGCCATTGGCGTCCCCAAGCGCGCCAAGTTGTAAGCCTCTGAAGGCTGACGAATCGGTGATATACATTTAATCAGATATTCAACAATCAATGCGATTATGATTTTACTTTAGTTTCTAAGATTTAACTTTTAAAAAACAAAAAAATTGTCCTGAATCCCGATCTTTAAAAATATATTTGGCTGCGAGCCACTCCGCAATGCTATCAAAAACCGTAATGCAAGCGGATTGTGTAGGCTAAGAGATGAATATCGTATTGTAATGAAACGAAACTGAAAGTTTATTCTCTATATTGTTATCCTTTGAGATCGCCGCAAACGGCTAAATAAAGTAAATTAACAGATTACAAAAACATGCAAACAAAAAAAGGTCAGATAAAAAAGGATTTATATCTTACGCTGCGGACAGGATTCGAACCTGTGCGGGTAGAACCCAATGGATTTCAAGTCCATCTCCTTAACCACTCGGACACCGCAGCACATTTTATGCTGGTGTCAAACGCACCACTTGGAAGGCACACAAAAGCGCCTCCTGTGAGGAACATTTAGCAAAAACGCCATCTAAGAACGGCGGATAATATGTAAACTAGCCGTGAACTGGTTCTGGATTCGATTCTAGTTAGACGCAGTGATCTGGCTCGTACCAGGGCTGACACACAAGTTATTTTTGATGTGACCCTTAACCATTAAACATTATTTAATTTGATTACATTTGATGTATTTTAATAAAAATAACCTATTTGATCCATTTCAGAGTATGTGGCAAGCTCAGGCTAAAAAGTCTGCTAGAATATCCAACAGGTAGCGTACTAGTGCACTCAACGTCAAGAAGCGATTCTGGCACGCCATTATATATCAGCTGCGGTGTCCGAGTGGTTAAGGAGATGGACTTGAAATCCATTGGGTTCTACCCGCACAGGTTCGAATCCTGTCCGCAGCGTTAATTATTTGATTTTTTTGACACCCTTTATCTCTATTTTGTAATTTCACTCTCTTTTATAAAACGACCTCAATCAAATCATTCAGTAGCTTCGGAACGAGTTCGGTTTTGTTGGCTTGTAGTCTTATGTATTTGTACGTCTGCTACAAAAATAGTTTGCATTTTGATTTATCTTTACAACTATGGTTTATATTTAATAAGAAGAACCTTAATACAAAACGTCTGTATTAAAAGAAGTTATAACCTAAAACTATCCACATTCGCCCCTGAACACTGTTCACTGCTTGCCCGGTGGTCGGTAGACGCCCACGACGACAGCGTGATCACGTTCGTACGGCTCCAGCGTGAGCTGTTCCTGTGGCTTCAGTTTGTCCGCCTGCATCTTCTTGACCTCGGCGGCAAACACCGCTTCGGGCTGCGCCGTCGAGTCAATGCAGGATGCCTTAATCGAGATGACAAAGTGTCCTCCGTTCTTAAGGAAATGCTGTGCGTTCAGGGCCACAATACGGCCCTGATCGGGCTGGGCAACATCTGCGAATATGGTGTCGACCATGCCCACCAGCATGCGGTATTTGTGGGGATGACGAGCGTCTTCGATTATGGGTATGATATTGGTGCGTTTCTTGGCCACATTGATCAGATCGCGACCTGAGCGATGTGAGAACTCCACGGCATAGACGAGACCCTCCGGTCCCACTATATCAGACACATGGGAAACTGTGGTTCCAGAGGCTGCGCCCAGGTATAGGACCTTCGAGCCGGGAGGCATATGAATCTTCTCCACGCCACCCAGAACGGCAGCAGCCAACTTGGAGCGGAAGGGATTCCATACACGGTACTCGATCTTCTCGCCATTGGTCTGTGAAGGAAGCAAGAAACTTGTGTGAAATGCTGCACATAGATGGACATTTATAAACATAGGATGCTGAGAGATTTTGCCTCAGTTGTGCATTGCTCTAAGCAACCAAAGCGCACCTGAAGCTGCTTCAAGTGCACCTGAAGTGCACACAGCTCCCGGTGAACGCAATGGACGCTCATGGCCACATAATGCCATGTTCTGTACCCCTGCACAACATCATCATCAGCTGGAATATGGGTTGGAAGGAATTGTGATGTCAAAACAAACCTCGACAGAAATGCGCTTCTCTCCGTAGACTTCAGATCCAGGTACAAAGTTGCGGGTGACTAGAGCATCCTCCTTGCCTCGTGCAATGAAGACTCCTTCGTGGCGATGTGGCTCGATTGTGACTGTTTTGCCACCCTTGAAGCCACCGGCTCCGCCGCCGCGGCCACCGCCTCCGCGTCCGCCGCCACCGCGACCACGATCGCCACCGCCGCGTCCGCCAAAGCCTCCGCGACCACGGCCGCCACCGCGATCACCACCGCCGCGTCCACCGAAGCCTCCGCGTCCACCGCCACCACCACGTCCACCGAAACCGCCGCCACCGCGGTCGCCGCCTCCACGGCCACGGAATCCTCCGCCACCTCCACGTCCCTCGCCGCCACCACCGCCGCGTCCACGGAAGCCTCCGCCGCCTCCACGGCCTTCACCGCCACCGCGTGGACTAAAACCTGCACAAAAACACAAGTAAAACTCATTTTATCAGATGCACACTCTTTAGGAGGTTAAGTTCTATGATTTTTCTTAGTTTCAGAGACTGCCTTCATTAGCTAATGGCATTTCTTGCAATCCTCACCTGGTTTTCCCATATTGAACTGCTGTAGTTTTACTTTTTAATACAACTTGATCGAAAATTGAATCTTCAGAAAAACACGCGGCCAGCAAAACGCTGTACCACCACAAGAAAGAAAACACGTGTGCTTGCCAGTGTGACCGCGGAATATACCGCCCAAAATATACCAAAATATACCTTCTTAAATTAAAATTTACCATAAATATACCTTCATAAATTAAAATATACCATAAATATACCGCAGTCTTAAATCATATTCCTCGATTTTGATGTTCTATTTGATATAACTAGCTTGCAAAGACTTTTAATACTGAAACAATCATTTAAGCAACACACCGAACATGTAGAAAGTCCGCCATATATCAAATCATATCTAACGCAGAATAATGTTGCGTAGGAATGCCACCCTTTCGGCAATACAGTCGCATTTTTAACAATGTTGCCACGTCGCGCACAAAAGATTACGTACATAGTGTACATATGTATGTAAAATTGACATTGTAAATAATCGACTTCCGTTATGATTTTGATATTTTGGTGTTAATAACTAGTAGGTATTACTAATAATAGTAATACTCATTCTACGCCTAATGGCAGCATTTACAGAGCTGTGGTTACTATGTCAATGCCGTCAACACCATCCGAGTAGTCCTTGGCAATGACCCAGCGCCTTGGAGATCTAGTGTTCTTGAACCAAACAAACTTCAAAATCAGTTCAATCGATGTGAAAATTCTCGTACATTTAAGTCAGTCCAAGTTGTGGAACGTTCCTGTTCAAAGCTAAAATTTACTCAAACAAACAAAAATAAATATTTTGTTGTTTTGCATTTTCGTACATTTCTTAACCAATAATTCATCATGGCCTTCCATTCGGTGGTCACAATGGAGAAGCCGCTGCAGCACATCTCGCTGACGGACTGGCATGCTCGCGTTAGCCAGTTGCGGAATGTTGCAGATGCCCGACGATCGGACGCCTTCGCCATACGCCATGCATCGCGTTCGTTGAGGAACGAGACAAGGATCGAAGGGGATTGGGCCAACTACGAGAGCAATGAGGGGCTTACAGATCGGTGATTAGTTTTAGCTCTTCTGGCCTAGTGACTGTCTGCTGACTGCTGTCTCCTTTTCAGTATATCCGAGCTGAATCGTTGGCGCGACATCATAGCCAAGACATTTGATCGTATCGAGCGCGAGATTTACATGCTGCAGGAGGAGAAGAATGCCACCGAACGCGAGCTGGAGACACTTACCGGTCCCATATCGGTCATTGCCGAGTGCCTGACCATGCGCGACGGACGTCTTGGCTCTGAGATGACCTACGATGAGGCCGACACGGAGATCAAAAACGAGCTGGCAATATTGGAGAACAATCAACGCCTGTTGGCCGACCGCTGCCAGAAGGCATGGGAGAAACTGACGCGCCTGGATGAGGTGCGCTTCAAGATCGGCATGGAGATCGACAACAAGCTGGAGGCAGTCGAGCTGGATAATTCGCAGTTGGCCCTGGACCGCAATGCCGCCAACATATCGTACAAGCCGGATCCCACCAGGAATCCAAAGAAGTGAGTCCACGCATTTATGTTACGTATTTGTGAAGCTCCTACGTTGGTTTTCTTTCAGCTCTTGTTCTTATGAAACTTGGTTGGAGCATGTGAAGAACATGAAGCAGCTGGCGGAGAATGAGCTGGCCGACACCTATGCCATTCGCGAGGCTCTGTTCGTGTGCCGCGAGAAGGCCCGCAACATGCTGCAGTCGCAGCAGGAGCGCGCCGAGCATACCATTCGCAAGCGCATCTTCGAGACGCAGCGCGCACGCAACGAGCTCGAGTGGCAGAAGATGAAAATGAAGGACGAAATGGAGCAGGCGGTGTGCGAGATTAAGACGCTGGAGCAGGCGCTGCGCGACAAGTCCGACGGTCTGAAGTTGGCCGAAACTCGGCTGGAGAATCGTGCCCAACGCTCCGGTATGGAGCTGTGCATGGACCAGGCCCACGAGATGCTCTGCGTGGAGGTGGAGAAGCTGCGCGAAATCCGGCGTCGTCTAATTTGCAAGATTGACGAGAGCAAGGCCAATTACAACCTCATGGAGGAGCATGCCCAGAAGATCGATGTGGATCTGGAGAATAAGCAACACTCCTTGATGACTGATATACGGGCCCTCGACTTGCGTCAACGTCTTAAGGGCGGCGAGTTCGGCCTGAAGATGGCCAATCCGAGTGCTCAGACTGACAGGAACATTGTGCTCACACGCATGGAGGATGAGATTCCAAAGACATAATTTGTTCTCAACCGAACATAGCCATTTTCAGAGTTTTTGTACGTGTTTCCAGTTTGTTTTTGTGTTTATTCGTCCAAATTTATGTGAATTAAATGGAAATTTCTTGCGCAGCTCATCGCTTTTCTTGGGTGAAGCCAAAATTCAGCTGTCCCAGCAGTGGCTTGAAGTCTACACTCCACGCCACACGGCTGGACAGATCGGTGGTGGGTTTTCTTGGAAAGTGCACGCCCTGGCGCACAAACATGTCCCACTTGACAAACTCGCCGGGCACTACAGCCTCGCTGGGTCCGGTGCTAACAATGGACTTGGCATTGTTCGTTTTATCCAAGTGCCAGTCCACCCAAAGAGCAATTCCATTGCACACTCCCGATCTGCAAAGATAATTTATTGATTATAATAAACAGAGTTTCAATGGGGACGACTTACTGCGTCAGTTCTATGCTGCCTTGGAGCTGGTGCTCAGCACTGAAGTTGGCAAAGTCAACGCTGAGAATCTGCTGGGGTTCGGACAGGGCGCGACAGGGATATTCCCACAATGGTTGCGCCTCCACCAGGGACACTGCCTGTTCGGCGGATCTCTGTAAGCAATTAAAATCGTCAAATTGATCTTTAAGGGCACATAAAACTAATCTACTTACCTCCACCATTTCGTCAAACAGGCGCAGATCGAAGCCCTCGCAGCTGCCCACAGGCGCACGAATCTTGTGCAAATCCAAGAACTGCACGGGCAGAGCAAAGACTCTCGCCTCACATGGCGTAATTTCCACATTCTCCGGCAGTTTGTCCTTTAGTTTCAGCAGCAATGTGCCAAAGTAAAAGTTATCCCACGGCAGAATGGAATTGAGGAAGTAGGGCTCGGCAAAGACATGCGTCAGCGCGACCAATTCTGTGTCCTCCAGCTGCTCTACGTCCTCCACATACTTGACATTCTTCAGCTCGTTGTGCTGCACAATTGAGTCGATCAGGCGGCGCGAGAAGCGATGTGGCTCATGGAGCTGCACCGACGCTGCACCAAGGGCCGCGCTGGCCAGACCTAGCAGACAGCCATTGCCCAGGACCAGCACATTCGATGGCTTAGGCACAATGGTGTTCTCCAGGTATCGCAGGTAGCGTTTGTTGCGCACTGCCTGATTTAGCTGGCCGATTCTGCTGCGGGAGTAGGTCATGTGCAGGTCGCAGGAGCAGGTATGCCGACGCACCGTTTTGGCAGGCGCCTCCAGCAGCGCATCGAACCACAGCGAGTACTCGTCGTGGTGGCAGCTCAAGTAGAAGGCCTGACCGGCCGTGGTCAACTGGGGCGGCTTCGGCACGTAATAGATGGCCTGCATCCAGTGGTCCCGCCAGGGGACGACATTGGCCACAGGTAGGCGGTCGGCCTGGCTGGCCGTCAGCTCTTTGAGCTCCGGATGGGCCCAGTACGGAGCACAGCTGAGAAGGATTTCCCCTTGGTCGTCCAGTTGTATGTCCCACCAGTAGAACACCAGCTCCGCGGCACCCGGCTGTGTCGTCTGCAGCTGCAGCAGTTTCTCCCTCTGCTTCTCGCGCCTCTCTTTGCGCTGGAAATCGAACTGAAAGATCTCGATGGGTTCCGTCAGCAGGCGGAAGGTGCCGGGCGGCAGCTGCGAGAGCTGCACATCATGCAGAGCAGCCTCTCCCTTGCAGTTCTTCAGCTGCTCGGGCGGTTGTAGCAAGGCTTCCCCATCCAGATTTGGGAGTATCTTGAGGCTGTTCCATTGCGAGGCCAGCGGGGACTGCGCCACTTGGGCGTAGCACCTGGCCCGGGCCGGTATGCACAGAGCGTCGTCGGTGAGCAGCTCGGCATGGGCATGATTGTAGATGCTGATGGCGCCCTCGCCAATCAGCTCCGTGTCCAGCAGCTCGGCCACCAGGAGATTCGCACGCTGCGGCATGTCCAGGCCCGCACCAATCTTGATTTCTGTGGAGCGTTTTCGAATCAGTTGCACTTTGTCGCCGACTCCATTGTCGGACAATATCTTGGCAGCACAATTGGCCATGGGCAGAAAGGCCTCGCAGGCCGTGACGGTGTCTGCTCCAGCTTTTAAGGCCATCATTGATAGTATGCCCGTGCCGGTGCCAATGTCCAGAACATGTACTTCCCTTCCTGCCGCATGCATTCCCTTTATCGTTTTCCTTAGTGCCGCGAAATACTTTTGATTCCTCTCCCAGTCATGCAGCATGTCGCCGAAACCGGCATTGGCCACTTCCTGATGGTAATCGTAGTCATCCTCGCGCTCGTGCCACCCGTTCTCACCCGTTATGGGGTTCATCACGTGGGCAAAGCAGGACATTGTGCGGATTGGCAATAAATGTGTTTTTAACAAATTCTTGAACATTAAAATGCGACCGGCAACAGATGTTCTCTAAGCGCTGCCACCTTCAACAAAAATCAAGTGATGTGGCAGCACTGCGCATATCGGAATATCGAGTTCGTCGCGATGCTGTGAATCGATAGTCAGTGCCGGTATCGTGGAAGGACAAGTGTTGAATGTGAATTTGTACAATTTTATTATGAATGCGATAGTTTCTTAATATTATTTTGTGTGTAAACTACTCTTAATGTACTTAAGTTATCTTAAAAGTCCTGGTCGAGTCGTCGCTTAACGCCTGCCATCAGTTTAACACGATGACGCAGTTGAAGGTGTCGCAGGCCGCAATTCCGCGCAATCGGTGTCTCGTCGCCACATGTTCTATCGAAAAGCGCACTGCTTGCCAAACACCTGTTGACACTGTTTTTGTTACCACTTGTGGCGATTGGCGCAATGGCGGCGGTGTTCCCATTGACTTCAAACCAACAATGAACTATATAATCCAGCATTGAAATGACCAGAACAAATAATACTAGACAAGCGGGATTTACGGGCAAATACGAAGAAGAGCTATCCATGGCTTGGTGTAGACTTGACGGGCGTCCTCTTGTGAATGATATTCGGATGCGTCCTCCATCGACTATATATGCAGAACAGGTAGGTGTTTATTGTAGCTTTCTGATGGTGGTGGATACACATATCAATTACCTGCCTATGCACCTGAGGGAAGGGTAAAAGGCTTCACGCTTGCTCGGTAAACAAGTCCATAAAGTGTTAATCTATTTGTTTTGATCGATTCATGGACTGCCCTTGCTCACTTATTTTGTCCTACCTTCATAATTGGGTGTATCGGAATCTTGGAATCTTTGAAACTAGAATTAGCTAATTAATTCGACTTTACTCGTACGAATTGTGGGAACTGCAGCAATTCAGTTGCACGCGGCGGCTCGAACAGAACAGAACAGTTCATTCGGTACCGGACAATGGGGAAACTTTTGCTGCTGGACATCTTTCAATGGTTCGCCGTTCTGATTGGCTTGACATCCTACAGGCTGGTCGATGGTAGACTTATGCAAACCCGGCTAAACAGAGTGTACACCATGATCCTCAATGTAATCACGGTCGTAATGCTGCCTCCGGCTCTTTTAGGCGCTGCAAAGTTTTTTATCGTGGATTTCTGGCTGCCGAAATTTATGTGGATCACTCCTTACGTCCTTTATGCGGTGAACTACTTGGTCATTGTCCAAACTCTGACCTCGCGTGGCCACCGGGACAGCATACTGATGGAGCTGCACCATTTAATTGTTAAATTGAACCGCGAAATGGGCAGAGCCGGAAAGCGGATGAACTCAAAGCTTCGGAGGCTGTTCTACATAAAGACCTTTACCATGTCGTGTCTGTGTCTGAGTTATGTCTTGGGAACATTCGCGTTCACCGGCGGCTTTTCATTTTACATGATTCTCTCCAGTGTTCTAATTAACAATGGCTACTGCATCCTTATTGGCACAACGCACTTGTACTTCGTTTCGCTCTGGCAAGTTGTTCGCGGATATGATTACGTGAACCAGCAGCTGGAGGAGCTCATCTCCACACGGTCGCCGCTCACATCTGGGTACACCGAGGAGCTGCGCAGTCTGTGGTCTCTTCACGCCAACCTCAGCCGGACAGCGCAGAAGATAAACAGGATCTACGGTCGCCAGATGTTGGCCTCACGTTTCGACTATATTGTAGTCACTGTAATCAATGGCTATATTGGTTCGATTTACTCGCACAATGAACCTAACCTCACTAAATGGTATGGAGGTCTACTCTATTGGATACGGATTATGGACTTTTTTATGACCGACTATATCTGCGATTTGGTGACTCAGTGCCAGAGCATGCGGAAGGACACCGTTAGCGAAGGCGTCATGTCCAATGAGGTACTTTAATAAACTCATCGACGAACCACCTACTAAGTTTCCATTTCGGTTTGCAGCTCAATTCGTTTTTAATCTACCAAAACAGCATGAATCTTAATTTGAAGGTTTGCGGCCTGTACCCAGCCAATCGAAAACAGTGGCTAAGCATGAGTGGAGCCATCCTGTGCAACTCCATAATGCTTCTGCAGTACCATCTGATGATGAAAGCCAAAACAGAAAAGCTAAACGAATAATAATTATAATACACGATGCTATCGTTCAACTTATTAATTAATTGATTCGAAATGGTTCCAGATACGCACCCATGGAACATCATCACTAGGCCTGCCATCGGACAGCGCACTTAATTTTATTTGACTAACTACGGGACAAGGCGAATTCAGTTGAGCTTCGACACTGGCGAACACAGCACCCGGTCATGTCGAATTCGTTGGTTCAATTATATTTCGGGTATGCGCTGGCCATAGGCATAACTTCGAATCGATTTGTGGACTCAACCTTCGGGCAGACATGCTTCTCGAAATGGTATGCACTGGCTGTGAATATCGCTACCCTCGTGCTGACTCCGCCGCTGCTTTTGGAGTCCCGTAATGGTTTTAAGGCCAATGAGACCTATCCCCATCTACTTTTGATTACCTTCCAAGTGCGATACCTGGTGGCTTACGGGGTCATAGCCTATACGGTATTGTCGCGCGGTTTTCGGGACAGAGCACTGAAGGAGATGCAGCCGCTGCTCACCAAGCTACTACGCGAGGAAAAGCGCAATGGAAAGCAGCGAGTCAGAAGATCCCTTCAAGTGACGATCTACCTGAAATTCTCCACGGCGGCTTTCGTGTGCTTGACGATATTCGTTTTTAGCTTTCACTCTGGCGTGGAAAGAAATTGGAGGACAGTAGCTGGAATTATATTTCTAAGCAATGCCCTCAACATCCTGCAAATTGTGCCCATGGGCTACTTTTTGGCACTCTGGCACATTGCCCGTGGCTTTGACTATGTGAACCAACGATTGGACGATATTCTGGCAGCGACACCCACTGATATGCAGGAGCTACGAAGAATTTGGGCGCTTCATGCTGCACTAACCAGAACAGCGATCAGGATCAACAAGATCTATGGCCCACAGATGATGGCAATTCGCTTCGATAACTTCATTTTCGGCGTCATCAATGCCTACTGGGGTACGTTCTTCAGCTTACACTCCGGCACGAATATTTTATGGGTAGTGTTTGGCGCCCTTGCGTACTGTTTCCGCTGCTTGGACTCGTACCTGATCGACTATGTGAGCGATTTGGCCATGCACTACCAGAGCTCACCAAAGCATGCCTGGAGCGAGGGCTACTGGTCGCAGGACGTATGATATTTGAATTTACTTCTATATTGTTTGCACTTATTTATGGAGAATTCTTTTGCCGCAGATCAACTCCTATGTGACCTATTTGGGCAGCTCCAAGCTGCAGCTTTGGACATGTGGACTCTATAAGGAGAATCGAAGTCTATGGTTCGATACGACTAGCAGCATTTTGTACTACTATATAATGCTACTACAGTTTCACCTGGTGCTGAGGAATTAATAGACAGAAGATGACGCATTTCGTAACATTATTGAATTCTCAGTTTGCTTAAAATTATCCAATACTTCGAGGGAACTCTATAGGACCACACTCACTTCGTTTACATCGATTCAATGACTGTTTCCAAGTAATCATAATTTAGATAATTAATGCACATCATTGCAGAAAATTGCAGAAATTCAGAATAGCTCATTTGACACTGGACAATGGTGCGACTTTTGCTGCTGGATATCTTCCAATGGTTCGCATCGCTTCTGGGCTTGACGATAGATTTATACAGACCCGGATAGCCAGAGCATACGCGCTGATCATCAACATATTCTCGGTGGCAATGCAGCCAATGGCTTTTCTACGCTTGGCCAACTCTGTGGCTGTGGATGCCTGGATGCCGCGTTTCATGTGGATTACTCCTGTACGATGCTGTCATCGTACACACTTTGATCTTGCGTGGCTATCGAGACAGAATACTGCTGGAGCTACACAAATGTAATGTTCAATTGAAGCACAAGATGGGCAGCACACAAAACAAAGTAAACCTTAAGCTGCGGAGGCTTTTCTATACAAAACCCGTAACTATGCTGTATCTGTTCCTGTGCAATGTTCTGGAAGTCCTTCTGTTTCGACTTATGGCTACCTTATTTTGATTTCGTCAGCCGGACTCCCGTTTCGACTACATTATATTCTCCGTGACCACGTGACCAGGGTCCTCTATTTGCTAAATACTTTGGTTCTTTCTATTTCATACGCACGCTGGACTTCTTCATGCCCGATTATATAATGCATTATACATCACATTAGGCTGATTAGAAAACTTGCAAAATCTTTTACCCCAGGCAGCCATGTTCATTGGTTTTACTTGGCCAAGATAGTGGCTTGTTTGTATCGTATTGCGTATTCGCTCACGTTGAACCCGCTTGAGGCGAACATTTTTGAACTACATAAGCAACAACAGCCATAGGAAAATGTGTAGCGCTGCAGGAGCCAATAATTTCCTGCTCGATAATTTCCAAATGAATGCGTTCAGCAAATAAATTCTGCTTTGACAGCACTCAGAGATGAATTTAAAACGAAATCACGTTCTGCCGTTGCACACATACTTTTTGGCGTATGCACATCTGCTCTACGTACTCGTACGTGATGAAAGTTGTGTCATAAACACGGAAGCCCTCCTCTCTCCTCTGCGGCAACCCTTACACAACTTAGTTGAGCTCTGGTGTTGGAGCTATAGCTGTAGCTGGCAGCAGGTGACTGCCAGCCAGGGTGAGCTTCGGGGGCATACTCGTAAATAAAATGAAATAAAATAAATCAAATACATAATTTTTCGCAATAAATTTGGCTTTTACAAAACGCTGAATGCAAATCTAATTCCTTTCGCACAACGGAACGTGTATCGAAGTTTCGCACAACGCTGCTGCCTCTGCTGCTGTTGCTGCTTCACTTCTGTCTCTGTACAATTTATGGTCGAGTTGTGCAATTTCCTTGTGCAAGTGGTTTATAAAACAAATCTGATTTTAAACATACAAATAAACAGCTTAAGCGATTGTATGGTTGGTACAAATGTACTTATATTAGGGCGGATCAATTTTTCTCAACAATTGGAATTCACGAAAAATTCTAAGAATTTGCGGCTATAAGTTGTACCTGAACGGGGGCTAGGAATGGATTTTACCAAAATCATTTTAGCATCTACAATTGTTGAAATATTCTTAGAATGTGTATGGAATGTGTATGGAATCCTTTCTTATCGAATTTGTTTGCCATGAACCGTACAAAATATAATAATGAACCCGTGCATAATGTGGCAATTTCTTAATGCAATCTGTTTGGTTGAGATATTAACATGATTTGAATTGGCATCGAGACAACACGTCAACACAATTATGTATGCTGGATAACAAGAGGCAAGATTTATTATGCCCAGCGCAGTTTCTGTTTCCCGAAACGAGGCAACAAACATGCACGTAACGGATGCGGCGGCTGCTGCTGCTGCTGCTGCTGCTGATGCTGCTCCCGTTCTCTGACGATGGGTAGGAAGGAGGGCGTGTTCCGCCGCTCCTCCGGCAATTGTCAAAATCATTGCCATAACTCACGTGTTGCCAGCAACAGAAACAATCGAACGACAACCGGACAGGGACAGAGACAGAAACAGAGGAGGGACAGAGCAGAGTCAGTGGCAGTGGCAGGGTGCGTGGTGCGTGGTGCGGGGGGGCATTGACAAATTCAATTGAAGCAGATTTGCTCAAAATGCAAATTACGCAATGATTTACATTCCGATTGACATATTTTAGGCGAACATTTTGCACTCCGTGCCGCAGTCGGTGGCCCGCCCTTTACGTGTTGCCAAAAGAATTTCTGATTTTGGCCATTGTCAAGCGCTTTCTGATGGATTAGAAAATTGTTTGATTTGAAGGAGATAAATCATTTCAATCGCTTATGAATTCCGATTGAGTATTCCTTGCACGGCCATGAAGGAGAATCAAAGGAGACTTCAAATTGATTCAAATAACTGAGAGCTGCATACGAATTTCCGAGCAAATATCTCAGAAGTTCTTTGTGACTATACTTGATGGTGTTTCTTGAAATGAAATTCCTTATTTATGGTGGATATATCTTAGCCGTGTCATTACTCAGAAAACTGCCGGACACATATCCTGTCTGGGCCTGGCCATCATTACTCTCTGGCTTTGCCTCGGACAGCATCAGGGATCCGTGCATCATAAAATGGCTGAAAGGACATAAACGCGTTATTATATTATGCCTTTGAATGCCCGAGTCGCCAGTCCCCAGGCTTCTTGCATACGAGCACTTGCACTTGAATGGAGGCCAAAGAATGCACAAGGCATTGTGCAACGGGGTGGCGACACAACACAATGGATGCCACCACGACGTGAACATCAATGCCAGAGCCGCGACATTGAATGGCTGGTGGCAGGCACAGGCGAAGGGCCAAAAGCCACTGACAGAGCCAGACCCAGTGGCAGTGCCGGTTACAGCCTTTGCCATCAATGCAACTTAAAGTCAACGGCAACTGGGAAAGACGCTTCTGCTTTTCAGCTTTTCAGCTTTTCTTCTCTGCTCTCTCTATCACTATTTATCTGTGTTTCTCGCTCTCCCTCTCTCTCGCTCATTCTCTGGTGGACATAAATTGGAAAAATAACAATATGAAGACCACATTCTCGAGATGTGTGGTGTGCGCGACCAATGGACGTGCATGGCGACCAAAAGTCAGCCCAGCTGAAGCACAGCTCTACTCAAGATGGCAGCTCAAAACTTTTTAATGATGCCGCAAAAGTCGGTGCACCAAGTTCGATGCCACAGTACTTCAGCATGAATGAGCACGAAAAAAAGAGATGCTGCTGCAGGGATTTACTTGTCGTTCAGCCCAATGGATCAATGGATGGATGGATGGCATGGCACAGCTGTGAGAGATTTGAATTTTGTACTTGGAAAAAGTGAAAGTTTTTAGCCCTTCTAAATGAAATCGCCATCCAGAAACTTTCAACACAAGAAGAACACCAACAACATCTTTTGGAGTTACAGGAATGGCTAAACTGTGTTTATTAAATAATAATTTGATGAGGCTTTAAAGGTACATAGTATGGGAGCTTCCGTCTTTAGCCGTAGAAGCCGCCGCCGCCGGCTGATGCAGATGACGATGCTGAGGCACTGGCACCGCCAAAGCCACCGCCGCCAAAGCCGCGACGTGGAAAACCACCATAGCCTCCATAGCCGCCGGGATATCCACCGCCGAAGCCGCCAGGATAGCCGCCACCATAGCCTCCATAACCACCGGGAAAGCCACCGTAGCCGAACTGAGGAGCCGGCACCGCCTCCAGGACACTGAGAAGCGCGAAAATCACAACTGCGAACACGATGGCTGCTTTCATTTTGCTTGTTTAGCTTCGATCTTTCCGTTTGAAACTGTCGTTGGCTCCCAGCCGCACGGCCTATTATATAAACGGATTTGTTGGTTCAACAACCCGCTTGGCTGGTTCTGTCCACTGACCGACAGACTTTTGTGACGCTGACCAAAAACGAAAACAAAATATGATTTTGGCAAACTCCGCGTGAGCGTTATCGTAATCAATCCCCGTTGGACCCGTTTTGGGGTCTAACCTTTACGAGAGCGGGGGACACAAAACAGAAAACTCAAACGTTTTTATTGTGGGATTTTGGGAATCACTCGGGCTCGATACGCTTTGTGTTCTGCTGTCTCTGCGTATTAGCATAAAGTAAAATACAAATACAAAAACAAATTCATATACGATATATTGTCTGTTATAATTATATGTATACAATTTCATCTGGCGTTGTTTTTCGGCTATCACATTCGCTTAGTCACTTTTGTATCGTATTTATTATACATTATGCTAATTGAGGCGTTCATTAATGGGATTTCTATTCGAATCGCTCTTGGCGTCTGATGTTTGGCATCCCTTGAAATTTATTGTCTAGCCTGGATAATGGTATTATAAAATGTTTCGTTTATTTGTTTGTTGTTTAAATAAATAAAATGGCGAATATGCTTGCATGTTATTTATGCGTGTCGCATTTATTGATTGATTGAGTATCCGAAGAGCTGTTATTCGGAAGATTTCACCTGTCTATCGTTTGAGTAAGCACTTGAAGTTGCCGCTCGCTTGCTTCTGCCGCTCGCTTTACTTTCTGAAACCCACTTTCTGAAGTGGCTTTTAGTGGGATTCACACATGATACAATTCGCATTAATATGTATAATAATTAGAATTGATTTGAAAATATTTGTAGTGAAGCCAATAACCTGGGTGACCTTGGTATACTCATGTTCTGATTATATTCCATTCGAAAGTTTGAAGATGTTTCGTAAATAGAGAATATTGCTTTTGTTAGCTGATAAACCTGTTCCCTATTGTCTGATCAATTTATTTATTGTTACCCTTTTAGACGTTCCGAAATTAGCAAAATGCTGTGAATCACCCCGAATATATATTGAAAACTATAATACAATTGCCTAGAATTTGTTGAGTTTGTGGTAGATCATGGAGTTCGGTTACTTGTCAGATCAGTAAACAATAATTTTCTGGTGAAAAACAGTTTGTGTGAAACACAAAACTAAAATTCCAAGTAGATAGTGAGTGATTCCCACTTAGACATTAGGAAATATGAAGAAGGATTCGAGGAATGTAGTTAGTCACTATGACAAAATTACACATCGTTGTCATAGGATTCTCTCTGGCATGTGGAACTTGATCTGCAGTGGCAGCTATCCGACGGATGTATTGATCCGATATGGCGGCAAGCTGGTTGCTCCTGGTGACCCTTATGCTGTGTTTCAATCGGAGAACGCACACGACGACTTTCTGGCCGTTTTTGGCAGCAAGTCGATCATGTTTTGTAAGAGCCTCAGGATCAAGTCAATACAGAAATTCGAATGCATCGATGGCCGTGGAGCCACGAGGATCATTGAAATCGGACACAGTCATCTGGTGTGTGTCGAGTATGCATTCCGATTGGTGGACGAGCTCGTCGCACATTGTACAGATGAAAAAGCTGATCCCAACAAATTTTCGGCCCTGTACTATACCAACATAGAGACCGTCTTGAATAAGCTCAAAACCAGCTGTGGTCTGGCGCTCAGTTCGAATGTTCTGGTGGTAATTGCTTCGGCTCTGGTTCTGATATTTGTGATTTTACATTGGCGCTAGGTACGAAATAAATGTTTGTTGCTTTCGTTCCCCCTTTTTAAATGCCCCATGAAATGTATCCATCAAATTGTGACATATTTTGACAGTACTCAAACCTAAAGATGCTGTCAGTACACAAATCTTTTGCTGTGTCGGCATGGAACTTAAGAAGCTGTCAGTGCGATGATCTGCTCTTCCTTCGTCTCTGGCCCGGCCCTGTGTCAACGATCGCATCGCATTTCCCTTTCATCTGACAATATTGCCCTTGTGTCATGTGTGCCACATTTGTGTGTGGGGGACCTTACCACTGGGTGCTTGTAGCAGCATCTGTGCGGAGCTCTCATTCATTAGGCTCCTTATAAATAATTGCTTTTTAACAGAGGCAAAAATTATCACCTAATTATAGAGGCACGACTCGGAAGATTCCAAAGCGTGGCATTGAAGGGAAATTATGTATGTTTATATGTTGATATTAAAATATTGTTAGTAAGGTGATAATGCGCGAATTGACTGGGATTATCCACTAAAAGGTTGAAAACTGTAGTAGATTTCCTTGAAATATTACCTTGATTTATGTCCAACTCCCAATTGGTGCTCCAGGTGAGTGCCAAGTGCACTGAATTGTGCACTATTTTTGAAGCCGGTGGAGAGTCTGCATGGAATCTCCATATGTACATTGCTCAGATAAGACCCCTGTTTGCTCTGGCATTTCCGTTTGCCATTTGATTTGACAGGACGCTTTTCTACTCTACTCTGAGTGTGTGTCTGTCCTGTGTGCTTGGCCCATAAATTTGTATTTCTCTTTTGAGAAGGAGAGGAGCACTTCTGCAACATGTTTGCCTGTCAGCAAATGTCGTCCTTCTCGGCAAACAATTTGCCGCATCGCAGAAGGACAAAACGCATTTTTCCATCGCTCCTGTTTTTGTGCTATTTGTGCTGCTCGCTTCCTGCTACTCAAACATTATTGCAATTTTGTAAATATTGTAAAAATGTTTTACGCTCTGAGTGCTGCCCCATCGCTTTATGCAAATTAGTCGCCGGAACGATGCCGAGCATTCCGAATGTTAATTTGCATTTTCCACTGTTGTTCACCGCTCTCGGGGCTTGTTTGGCTCTGTCATGTTTGGCCTGCGGATAAAAGGGGAATTTTTATTTGCATTTAAATATATTACATACTTGTTAACCTTTTCCATCTGGCAGCAATGGTTAGGGCTGGGGCTGGGAATCTCCTACTGGATGGCTAGCATTCTCCCACCACTTCGTGCGTCTGTTGGATGTCCTTTTGTGTGTGTTTCTCTCTCTGACTTTTGGGAATGCGTTCGAGCTGAGTGTTCTTTTTTGCTTGGATCCTTGAGCTACACAATGCAATGCACATTCTATAGTATTTTATTGTGTCTCTACTGCCAATCTGTCCTTTTTAATTGCGTTGAAAGACCGACTTGGCCGCAATCTTAATCTACTTTGATTGTGGCTACGCCTTGCCAACGTTTGTGGTTTTGCCCGCAAACTTTTCCCGACCCTCCCCAGCCCTCTGTGTGTTTGTGTGTGTGTTTGGTTTCTCTCTTGCTGCTCGTCTGCTTATTTGTTTTGACTTTAATTAAGTTTTATTATACAAATTAACACATGCGGGTGAAAAATCACAAACGCACACACACGAAACATAACCCTTGAGCTGTTCTCGGTCTTGTGTGTGTTGGTGTGTGTGAGTGTGAGTGTGAGTGTCTGTCTGTGAATATACATTTTTAATTAAATCATATTACTAAGTAAATAATTAAATAAGCCATGTCAACTTCATACGCCACTGACAGTTTAATAAATGGAAAACTTTTGGATGATGAATTCCACGGAGTTCAAATGTAGAATTGAATTGGATATCTTTGCACATTAAAGTGCAGCATAGTTTGTGGGATTTATAAACCAAAAACCGATACAATATTAATGCAGGATACATAAGAGAGTCAGCTTTCCACTGAGACAGGAAAACAATTACTAAATAATTCATTTTAAAGTGTTCCACAATTAGCAGAATTGACGCATGAAATGAATAGCTAATTCGAATACTGTTTGCCGCTTTTATAGTTTAATTAAAATTAAACTTGCATACTTTAAGTATTCCCCAAGAGGAAACATCAATGGAACATTCGCTTAGAATCTGTTAAATGTATATTTTTTAGTGCTCTTCAGTATGTCACATTTCGTTTAGTATCGTATAAATATAAATATTAGTCAGGTAGGTAAATACGTATGTTATTTTTTAACACACGCTTAAACATTAATGCAATTTAGCTAATTGAAAGTAACCTCATGGGGCCCATTAAATGATTGCCATGGTGGGCCATCGTCTTCGTCGTCGTTGTCGTTGTCGTCATCGTCATCAAAGCGGCGGATAAGCATTCTTGGCATAGTTCGCTGCCACACAATAGTTGGTGGCCCCAAAGAAGGAGCACATGCCGTTGCCGTTCGAAGGATTAGTCCCAAATCCCGCATAGCAATTCGTATAGTTCTGGCACGAGCGCAGCTCCAGCGGCGCAAAGTTAAGGGCATACGCCCCGGGTGGTGGCGGCGGCGGTGGGTGGCTCAAATTCGCATATTTGTGCATGTTATTGCTGAGCGGCGCTGGCACCAATTGTGGCGCATTGTCCAGCAGCGGACGAGCGCCCACGCTGCGTTCGTTACGCCGGAATTTGGCGCGGCGATTCTGAAACCAAACCTAGAAGCCAGGTGTTCAAAGCTTTATTAGTAGAGGTACGAAGGGGCTTTCGATATGGTGCACTGGATTAATCACTACGAAATTATCCATAGTTTTCAAGCAGCTTTTAAAAGTTGCCTTATCTTACCTGCACTCGTGCCTCGCTCAGATGCACCTTGGTGGCCAGCTCCTCGCGCACAAACGCATCCGGATAGTGGGTTCTCTCGAACACCTTCTCCAGGGCCGTTAGCTGGGCGGAGCTGAAGGTGGTGCGATTCCGTCGCGGTTTCCTCGAGTGTCCCGTCGAGAGTTGACTGGTGCAACCACTGGGGCCGCCACCGCCGCCTGCAACGGAAGGAAGAGCAATCAAGACGCCATTAAATTGAGAATTTTCTCTTTTAGTTTAGGGTTTTGGCTGGAGGTGAATGCAAAGTTTGTCCAATGCAGCGGCGCGTCGTAAATAATCGATAAGTGCCAACGGATATCAATTAATTTGGCAGCAGCCCCAGCCCCAGTCCCAGCCCCAGCAGCAGCTAAGAAATTTCGTTACTTTTATGGAAAAACACATAAAATTTTGCATTCCGTTTGATCCTTTTGCTGGGGTGCTGGGGCAAGTTGTGGGGGTCATAAACAAATGGCATGAACCATAAAATATCTTTTGACGACATCGGCGGACAGCTGTATACTAATTTCCACGCTGGTACCGCTGCCACTGTCCCTCATGCCACTGTCTCCGTTCGACAATCTAACAAACAAATTTACGATCTATTAATTAAAGTGAAATTGTGACATTAAGCGGTCGTAAGCGAGCTCCTCTAGCTACCGTTAATTGATTTTCCATTGAATTTTCTTTCTTGTGGAAATCGTTTGACGAAAAATATAATTCTCTTTCTCTTGAAAATATCTATTCTGGTTATAATTGGATAAGGCGCCGCTGCCACACGTTGCAAGCAAGCATCTATATAACGTGAATTTTCACAAAAATGGTTTTTATAAATAATTATTAACCAATAAGCTAGTGGCAACAAGCTATTCATTTGCCATTTGTTAGCCTTTTAATAATGCATATTAAATGATCAGAGAGTGTTAATGCAATTATAATCCATAGAAGCGATCGATAACTCTTTTGGAAACCCTTCAAGCTAGTTTTTTTGTGTTAGCTCTCCGGCTTGCCTTCTGTTTAAGGATCTCTACACTCTCCGCAGACCCGCCTGCTTACAGGCGCTCCCCTGATTTCTGGCTGCGTCGCCAGCCAGGCAGGTCTTGTTTCTTGCTCCATGGTGGCCCACCGCCATGACTGTCTCCATCAACATCCCATGTACTGCTCCTACCCACGCCATTTGTCTCAATTTGTCAGCAAGCTGTCCACAACGTTGGGAATGCATCGTAGATCAGCTCGGAGTACTACACCGAGACAAACTATACCAAAATAAGAGAGAAGAACAACCCAGAGATAAATGCAGCAACCCATGTCCCCGGGGAGTGTGAGCAATGGGAGGAAGATATTTAATTTGAATTGCCAACGAGCGATAAAAAACAGTTGCAGCTTAATAAAAAACCAACAAATCGAAAGGGAAACCTCAATCAGATTTCCCTGAGAGATATACTATGCACGCAGTAAGAGAGAGGGGTACGTAACGTACTGAACTAGGGATGAGAACGGCATGTTAAAAAATCCAATGGAGCGACGAAAATAAACGCAGAGAGCGAAGCAGAGCAGAGCGCTGGGTGCGTGCTCCGTCTGGGAATGGTTACAACGGGCCTGGCCGGGCCGGGCCTGGCGTTTTATATGCTCCACTTGGAAATTATAGTCGTGGACGTTGCCGCTGACGCCGCCGACTCGGGTAGGAGGGTAAAGAGGGAAGAGGCCTACCCGTACCCGAGTTGCGTCCTCGGACCGCTTCAAAGGCATGCGGCCACTGAGGGAATATCATGTCAGCTTTGATTACGTTTTGTCATGTTGACAATGTTGAAGTGTTGTCGGCTCGGAAATGTTTCCTCTGCCACACACAAAAAAAAAGAAGCAAAGTGAAAGCGAACACCAGCCGACGAGTAAGGGAAAAGCAGGGAAAAAAGTGTATGAGAATTGGTTACAAATTGAAAGAGTTGCGCGAGTTGCTGAAGAGCCATGGCATTAGGTCTTCATGGCATATAGTATATAATGCTGAATATATGACAACAGGCAGTAATATGTTGACAGTTTTGATTGTGGGTTGCATGGAGGTGCACGAGTGCATATGTGGGGGCAGACAACCGCAGTTGAAAAACTGCACGAATATGACATTGCGAGACGGTAATGTCATCGGCATAAATGTGCAAATGTCGCCCACATCTGGCACCTAATTGTCATCCATGAGTGGTCCGCACAAAACACGCACGCACATCACTGCACAGAACAGCAAAGAAAATATATATACATATGTATGTACATGTGTACATAATGCGTCTATGATTATGCACTTGTGTGGTTAATGTCATAAAGTCACGGCTTCTCAGCACGCATTGCAAATGGATTTATCATTTATGAATTAGCCCGAATATTCGCGCTAAGTCTCACAAATTACTGGAGAATATCTAACAGGATGTCTGCGGTAAGACACCTTTGGCACTAGGCATTCCTTTGCACACCCATAAGTACTAGTTACACATATGTACATAGTTGATAACATTAAGGGATTGTGGTAAATGGGCAAACACTTAACGTTTAATCGCCTTAAAATACATTTTGTGGGAGTCCATTACCCAAAAATGATCGGAACTTCTTTCTTCTGGAACTTTTACTTACCGTAATTGTTGCTGATTTCCATCGCGAGCTTGCCCTTGGCATAGGCATCGTGCTTCAGTTCGATGAGATTATCCACCGAGAATCGATGCATTTTTTCCAGATCCCTGACACTCCCTTCACGATCATGCAGCTTGTCCTCGACCTCGAGGTTGTGCGCCGCATGCGATGGATAGGACTCACCGGAGGCTGTCAGTGGATGTGATCCCGTCGGGCCGTAGTAGAAATTGCTGTTTGTGCCGACGGGCAGCGAGTGTAATTGTGGCTGATAGTTCAACATGGCCAAACGAATCGATTTTCGGTTGTTCACTTTCAAATCAATTTGTAGAAACACTTGCGCCAAATTACAGATTGATATTTAGGTGGGTATTCGCTTGATTGTATTTGAGAGTCAAATTGAATTCTTTAGTTGTCAGCGATGATTGAATTAATTTCCTTTATTTGCGCTCGCCAAGATTGGGGGCATCCTGCGCGAACTTGGTAATTGGATTAGCACACAACACATAAACGAGTTAATTACGATAATTGTCGCGACGATACTAAACCGTGCCAAAGTCGTGTGCCCACTGAAATTAGCCTCAAAAGTCAAAAGAGTGTGTGCGCTGGCCTCGCTCAACGATCCCAAAACGATCCCAAGATCTTAGGAAAACGAAACATATGTCTGCGAGATCTTTGCTCTCGTTCTGACTGCACCTAATTATAGCCGCAGATCTGCCATTGGTCTGCTGCTCCGATTTGTCTTGCCTTTCGCTCTATTCCATCCGACATTTTGGGGGCGTTGCCGTTGCATCGCTGGTTTATGTATGCATGTACTTATGTATGTGGAAAATTGTTTGAAATACGAGGTGAAAAGTAGCAACAAGTTTTGGGCATTTAAGTAGCAATAAATACCAATTAGCCGGAGGGTTTGTCCACACACAGCACCCATTGTCCTGTATCCTGGCTGTCAACACAGTCACCGGCACCGGCACCGGCACCGGCATTGGCCATGTGTGTGTGTTTGTGGCGTTGCTCCAATTTCGGTTTCGGTGCAGCGTGCAGGATGTGCATCTGAAGTAGTTTGTGCAACATCAGGGCATAAATCTTGGCACGCACACAATGTTTGTCATCTTTCCAGAGCTAATTTCCATAACCACAACATGTTGTTAATTTTCCCCCCCAACAATATAATGCCCGAGGCGAGTGGATTGCCAACGATGCCAGGCTGACAGTCGGAAGGAGGCTGCAACTGCTTAGCTAAGTGCATGTCTCAGGGATCCTTCAGTTTGTTCGTTCAGCTGTGTTTATCATTACCTCGAAAGGTGTCTCATTGGGGTTTCTGTGTTCCATGTTGCTGTCAACCAATGTGTGTTGCTGCTAGTTATCGATAGCGTGGTATATACGTTGTCCCATGAAGTTTATCTCAAAATGTATAATGTCATGATACCAATCAGTTTTCTGAATGTTCTGTATTTGGTGACCTTAACTATGCCTTATGCCCGTAAACTTCACGACTTTAATCCACCATTTTCTTGACACACAACCCACATCAAGGTTTTATTTTAGACCTCTAACTATTCCCCGCAGCAAAAACCCCGAGTCATGCTCATTAGTCGACCAGGCATATGCTCGCTATTAATATTCTAATGTTGTTGGCATTCTCTCACTTTAGTTGGGGCTTGGAGAAAATGCCTTACATACATTTTCCCTTCCAAATTGAGCTGTCACAAAAGTTTATCCAAACTACTTGACACTTTGCTGCCGGTTTTTCGGCAATGTTCCCCACCTGCTGCAGGAGCAGGAGCAGGAGCAGCAGCAGCAGCCAGGACTCAGTCCCGTCCGGTTCGCTTCTACTAAATTATCTCACGTTTTCGTGTGCGAAAAGTTCTTGAGGAATGTTGCGGCGTGTATTTTTAATAAAACTTCAAAGTTTTCTACTGCTCTATATTCGTATTCTATCCCGCAAACGTTTCTCTTTCCAAGCCAAGCTGCACTGGCTCTGCCACTTTATTCTTTCGCTTTTCGTTACTGGAATTCTTTGTCACGAAGCATTTCTCGCGTGGCAGTGCTGTTGCCGGTGTTCTGCGGGTGTTATCCGTGTAATATGGTTACCCGGACAAACTTTGTGCCGGAGAAATTCTTCTGGCAAGTCAGAATTTGAGGAGACAGTTTTAATGTTGTCAAATGGCGGGAATGTAACAAAACTTGTCTGGCTGTTGGAAGGCAACCGGATGAGCTCAGGTAATGTCGATTATTATGTGATAAATATGTATGTGCATGTGCTACGAGTATTGGAATGTTTTTATACAATTACAACCTATACATGAGCTGTACATCATTCATGGGAGTAGCTAAACCAGACTGACAGCTCTTCTAGTTTAACAATTTCAATTTCCTTTGAGGCAGCTTTGAGGGTAGCGCAGGGATTTGCCCAAGTTCCTTTGAAGTTCATGTTGTTTGTCGACGAAATGAATTTCACTTGACGGCGATTATGTGGCAAGCGTTTAAAATGTTGTTATTTTTGTTGCTCACATCGCGAAAGTTTTGTAAAACATTTCCGATGTATTTCAGAATATTACCAAACCGACGTCGAAGCGGCAGCGAACCGCAGAACCAGCCATTGGAATAGCAAGAGCTCTACGGCAACGTCATGCATCCCGGTCCCGATCCCCGTTCCTGTCCCTCGTCTGTGTCAAGGGTGTCGTCTAAGCCCAAAATGCCAGACACGAATGGCACACGCTCTCTGACAGTATCCAAGAGAGGGTTCTTTCTGGGGCTGGGACTAGGGCTGGGGCAGGGAAGTTCCTTCGGAAAGAGCTACAAGGGGTGCAAAAGTTTTGCCTAAATCACTTAACAGAAAACAAGTGTTGGCATGTGCCCCGCTCCGTCGGACTTCCTGCCCCTCTGGAGCAGTCGCTTTCTCTCTCTCTCTGAGGCTCTGCGTCTCGTCTCTAGTCTCTGTCTTCCTTTCCGCCCAGCAAAAATATCAAAAAAGTTGTATGTAGCATAGAAACTTTTGTGGTACCCATTAGAGAATTGAACGTGGCGTGGTTATGTTGGAATAAATTGACTGAAAATACTAATTATTTTCCATTAATTGTTTTATTTAATTCTGTAAATCAAAAAGTACCCTTAAAGTTTGACTCCACAACTAAAATACCTCTAGGTTTTACTGGGTGTCAATCAATTATGCGTTTAGTTCTTAGATTTCTCTAGTGAAATCCACTAGTGTAGGTATCAGCAAGCACAACAGTTGATGGCAAATGGAAATAGTATAACAAAAAGAAAGAACCGGAAGCATCAGGCAGGCGTAACTTTTGCTTTTTTGTTTTGCCACGCCCACTACACATTTTCGCTTGTCCACGTCCAATTTTTTGGGCCATTGCGTAAACAGAAAATCAATTACAGGGTGCATATGGGAGAAGAAGGTTGACAGAAGGTTCCCAAAAGTCCAGGAGGTATGGAATATGGTGATACCTAGTGGCGAAAATATAGATAGAAACATAAAAATATAAAATAAGATATCATAGAACTATAATATAAAGATTTGTTTTGTCGGGAACACACAATTTAAGGACTTATATCTCATACTGGACTGTACTCTCAACCGAAGCTGAAAATAGTTGATGGCCAATGAATGTGTGTTGCCCCGTTGCAAACTTTTCAGCCCACTTGTCACTCCGAGGCTGCAACTGGGTACGCTAGGGTATCGGAAAGTAAAGGGGGATTTACATTAATTACGGAACGCAAAAGCTTCTTGACTTTTAATATGGCATAGGCCTGGTAACGTACACTTTCGCCTACCCCGACTTCGTTTTCATTTTCTTTGCCCTGGCACCATACAAAACGCATGAATATTTCATAGGCCCACAGCAGCCCAGTGGCATTTGGTTGCAAGAGAGGGAAGGGCCAAGTTTTAAAAGCTATGTTGAGAGATTTTGGGGCCACCTCCAGGCCGCACTCCCGGTCAGATGTCCATTTAGACACTTACACACAAAGACGGACATGGAAGGATACGGTATGCCGAGCAAAGAACTTGCTGGTTCAGTTGTCGGCATCAATTTTTCACAGCTTTGACTAAGGCAGAAATGTGTGGGATTTTTCGATTTTTACTTCTTGTTTCTCTCTTAAATGGTTTGCATAATTCATGCATTTTTTATGCCAAACATTTGTGTTTTTTTGCCGGTTCTCAAGTCCTCCACACTTCACTCACTTTTAGGCCGAGCTCTCCATTGAATATTTTATTCAGCTGAGATTGAAACTGATTACTGGCCCGAAATGGTTTGTCAATTGTTTCGTTGAGCCGCTGCTTAATGCATTTTAATTAGTATTTTCTGTGTGGGGCTCTAGAGCATTGCGTTCACTACACTAAAATGTTCTTTCATCAGTCTGTATGAACTCTGTACTGGGAATTGGAATTAATGTTGCCGTGTTGCATGGCACCAGCATAGAGTGAGAGGGTGAGAGGGAGATCAAAAACACAACCGCAGGACACGAAAAATACCACAAAATGTGGTCAGTTCAAGCAACACATACAGATTTACCCCCCTTTAGCATCATAATCCATACGTGCTGTGTGCTCTTCCGTTTCGCTCTGAATTTATGGAAACAAAATTTGCTTGAAAATTTGGCTTCCGGGCTTACTAGTGAAAGGGATAAAAAGGATTAGCTTCATTTTGCGGAATGCAAATTGTTGCCGAAATAAGTTCCATACTGGAACATCCTATTAGTGAAGAGCTGGTAAAGTCTCATCAAATTTCAATCATTTCTTGGGCATCACTTTCGACAATTTGTTCGTAAGGAATGACATTTTGTTGATTGAACATTTTCAATCGAGCACTCCGCTGTATTGTATTATCGTTGTTGCTCAGTTGTCGCTCAGTGAGCTGCACAGTCAGCGCCATTTAAATTTCACTCACGATTTTACCCGGATGAGCAGTGCACTGTGCGCTGTGCTTCTGCAGTGCTTCCAAGCAAGCAAACAAGCAAGAAAGAAATTACGCGAATTGAAAATCAACGGATGCGAAACGGATGTACGGGTACTCAGAGCCAGAACCCAGAACGAACGGTCTCCTCATCCTTATACACGTATATCCTCTTCCGCATCCGTCTTCTGCAGCTGTCAGTTGGTGGGAAAAACTGTCGCTGCAATCAGATGCAATTAGAGCTTCCAGTGCCTTATCAGAACGACAAAAGGGGCGGAGTTCGGCGAACGAAGTCGAATGGAAATTGAAAACAACGAAACACAAAAAAACGAAAGTGAATCCGCTCTCTATCTCTCAGCCCCCATTAGTGGATGACACTGTTGTCCATGCCAAGCATGTCAGCTGTGTGTAAGGCCTAGTGTATCCTTCCATTCCAGTTCAATTGATGTGGGCCAAGTTTTTGAGGAGTGTCTTTACAATGACTAGAAATGGCTCTACGATAATGTGAAAGATCAACTATTAATTCCGGATGGGTGAAGCTCTCAGATTTGTACTCGTTTTAAAGGGAAATTTATTATTTTTTCTAAACAAAAATCAAAGTTTGAAGACTCTTTACAAAGCTGCAACCCTTGTCCGAATAGCAAGGAACACTATTTTTCTTGAAGAGTATCCCGTGAAATATGAATGGAACTCTACTTATCTTTACAGTGGACTCAGTCACACGCCTGAGCTGCACTTCAGAAATGCCTTTGCCGCTGCAACTGTCGCATTGATTAATAAAATTACGACCACCACTTGTGGTGGACAGAGGCAGACATGCTCATTATTTAAAAATGCACTTCGAGCTGCGTTCATGTACATGTACAACTGAGCATTCGCACAATAACCGACTGCGATGCAGGCCCAAATATTAATGAGTCGGTGTGCTAGCATGGCCTGAAGTTTCACAGAGAGCGAAAGATATAAATCAAGGGGAAAGTTTTTGCTCCAGTGCTTGGGATACCGCGTATTTCATGCGGGGATTCCTTGGATGCCTTGGCGAAAAGCCACACGGCGATGGATTAGTCCAGGTCGAGATGAAATACGGCCCAGAAGCGTGAGCAGATTTCGGGGCGAACAGCTTTATGGGCGACCATATAAAAGGTGTGTTGTTCTTTCCCCTATATCTTCTTGTTGCTTTTTATGGCCCAATGTACCCACCGTACGCTCCCCGTCCTGTCCCATTCAGTTCCTGCCCTGAATGTCCATGCGCCCAAGTGTCGTTGGGCTGCCCGAAGTAAGCGTTAGATGGCGCCAGGTGTGTGTACATTAAAAGCCATAAAAAATTCATAAAATGCAGTTCACACGCCGAAACCAAAAAGACCGCAACATATCCACAAATACGAGTACAGAACATACGATTACTGCCCGAGGAAAGCATCCAACCAGCTGAGTGTATACAAAACATAAATTTTAAAGTCCATAAAGAGTGTTTACGGGACCCGTGCACATGTGAGAACATCTGCATATGTGCACAAAACTCAGCCGACAGGCGAATCCTTACTTACCTTATAGAGCACATCATTACCGATTAAGAACTAACCGTGAGCCTCTTAATGAAACCCTTGCGAAAGCTGGTAGCTAGTTGTGAGAGCTCGGAGGGAAAGCATTTTCGCAGCTTAATTCTGATTTTCAATTTACTTCGTCTCAGGGCAAACGAAATGTCATCTTATGGCTCACGTACGCGACATTTGCCAATTGCTGCGAAATTGCACACAAATTATATCAATCTCGGAGCGTAATCATTGAAAACTTATCAATTTTGGCCGAGACCCAGCCACAGATTCCGCTGCCAGACATACACATCCGATCCAAGTCGCATTTCGCAGCGAGATGTTGTAAAAATGTAAGAAAATCAAATATTTATGATTCCGAGTATGTTTGAGCACAATTTCGCTGCTGTAAAAGCTGATGGTGTGGGGCCGGGCCTGGACTGCCTGCGGCAAAAGTAAACTACAAAAAGTTTCCTTTTTCGGCTGCATTTCCGTTTGCCTTGGCATTTGGATTTATGAGCGTGGCGTTTGAAAATTCAATTTAATTTTCATTTTTTCGTGCTGCTGCTGCTGCTGCTGGTGGGGCTGGTGGGGCTGGTGCTCCTGCTGTCTCTGTGCTCTGCTGCTGTGGGATTTCCTATGAATTTTTGAGCCTCTCCTCCTTTGCATATTTTGTAAGTTATGGTTAGCCGAGAATTGTGTTAGATGTGGCGGCATACAGATTCCTCTGAGCCGCGAAAATGTTATTTCATCTTTTTTATTTTTTTTTACCAAATTATCTGCACAAGAGACCACATTTGAGCAGTCCTAAGATTTGGTTTTTATAGCAGCAAAGCGGAAGGAAAGTAGAATAAGAACTACTGTACTACAGGCCTGTCTATTTTGGAATCTATGAACAAATAACTTGCAATCTATGATATTTATTTTACTAGTATCTTAATGGAATAAAACGCTTTGTACTCCCATTGCCGCAACCATCTTCGGTGCAGGCAATATGGCAATTTGATTCTTGTTCAATCGATAAACTCTATTGATGCTGAGAATGTTTCATTGTTAACCTAACTATCCTTCCCATTTCCATTTCCATTTCTCTTCACATTCCCACTTCAAGTGTTTCCTCTCCGATGCTGTTAGTTTTAGATGTCGAGCTACGAGATTCGAGAGGAGTTGCAGCAGCAACTGGCAATGCATTATGCTGAAATGTCTCTAGTTCCATCCGTTTCACCATCTATCTGACTGTGTGTCTGTCTGTCTGTCTGTCTGTGCTGTTGTCCCGCTGCCTGTCCCGATGTTGGCACTGCATATTGTGCCCCGGCTGTCGGGAGACGGATTAAATTGCGACTTATGCTAAGCGGATGGGACTGCGAGGGCAAATTGAATGGAAGCTCGTTTATTTTGCTCGTCTTGCGGCAAAGCATTGATGCTGTCACTGGATTTGTCACTGTCGTTCGAATCGTTCTAGCTATGTCGAAGTTTCCAGGCTTATAAATGCTTGGCAATTGGCGATACAAAGGAATCCCGGCCAGCCAATTTCCATTACCCACTACTGCGAGACCGATATACCCTCGGGTAGTGCATGAAACGGCCATTATCGCTTTTGCTTGGCCACAATTACACATTCCATTGGTACAATTACTCTCTCAGATGCAAATTTAGTGTTCAACCCAGCAGTGGACATTCGTCGCTTCCACAGTCACTTCATTGGTGCCAACGAGCCATCTCTTGTTATACCCTGAAGAGTTATGCACGGGGGATAACAGATTTGTGGTCAAAGTGATGTGCGTAACACATAGAATCAAACCTTTCTTGATGGATCAATAGTTGAGTCCATGTCTGTTTGACTTTCCGTCTGACTTGTTGCCTAGCTTCATCTGCCAAAATTGCAGAGCAGAAAGCTTTACTCTCTTTATACCTTTCTACACAGAATGTAGAGTTATACTATATTTGTGGCTACCCATTTCCCATAAAGTATAAAGTATATGCCCGTCTGTCTTAATGAGCTTTCCTTTCTTTCCTTCTCTTATCCATTTGATTGTATCCTGGTATAAGTGTTTTGAACTTCCCATTGAATCAGTAGAATGGAATGGGTTATAATAGAGTTTGCCACGGACACAAAGCGGCCACGATCCATCTTAAAGAGACCCATAACATAGAATTCCAGAGGGTTTTGTGCCAGCTGCAATTGAAAGCTCTCAAACTGCAAAAGCCAAAGTAAACATTTTAAACGGTATTTTCGATCAAAACGATCGAAACCTACCGATGCCTCCAAGCGCTCATCCAATTCCACGCCAAACACTGTCCGCTCTTGTAGTATTTTTGACATTTCTGCATTGGAGTCCAGTATGGAAAATCCAATAAAGATGGTTATAAAGTTGTCCGCATAGTAGAAGGCGGTGGAGATGACTATTAGCAGTAGTCCCCAGTGTGAGGCGGCTAGTCCGGAAGTGTTGTACTTAATCGTGCAGAAGGCGAAGTAAATGTTGCCCATGGTGGAGAGGTAGTAGACGATGGTCATGCTGAAGATCTGTATCTGGAATATCTCCGACATGCTGTCGAGCAGCGCTTTCAGCTCAGACTGCGTCTGCGCCATCCTATCCAGCCGATCGGACAAGGCGCAGCATTGGGTCACGAACACACCGCCCCGTCGATTGCTGTTGCCACAGAGGGTCCGGGTCTCCCTCAGCAGCTCACGGAGTTCCCGTTCCATCAGTTTATAGTGAGCCTTGACCTGCATTATGGCCGTATAGTACTGGGCCACGATCATATCGAATATGGATGCGAATGTGCACCAGACCCCCATCTTGAGGGCTAGAGCCGGACCGGGTGTCTCTCGAAGCGCGTTCAGGTCCAATACGATGTGCAGACAGTCCGACATAAAGGCGAATACAAACTTCACGATGAGCTCCCGGCTAAACAGAGGTATCAGTTCAGGCCTCTCTTGAATCGAGCGGGATAATCGATTCCAAATGCGCAGGATTTTGCCACGGTTTCGCCAACGACTCACCAACGTGCCCAGAACTGCACAATGCCGCACCGCAGTCACCAGCAGGAAGACGTACTCGTGCAGGTACTTGCCCCTGTTCATTTTCCAGATTGCTGTATCGTCGTGAAGGAGCTGGAAGGATAGCAGCCAAATCAGACTGATATTGTGTACCACCGCCAGGATCGTGGCTCTGCGGGTAAACTTCGCTCGGCCTGTGCGCGAGTCCACTTCAAAGTTAAGCACTCCCATGAATCGACTATAGAGGTAGACAAAGCGCTGAACCAACCAAACAATGTCAGCCATAGTGCACAACTAAAGGAGACTGGATGGAGGAGTTACAGTTGTGGTGGACTGGCAGGCAATCCAATCCAATCCAATCAATATTATGATGACATGACCTAGGGGAGCAGGCTAATGGGCTGACGATAAATTGCATCAGGCGGCACACAAATGGTTTATTCAATAGTTCTGCATATCGTATTGGATGAGAAGTACAGAGTTGATTAAAATAGAGTTACCCACGTCAAATGCAGTGGATCGATTCAATCGAAATAGGCCAAAACATTTTAGATTCAACGGATTGCGGGCCAGCCTTAGCTCGAAGCTATCAAACTGAAAGCAAATAAAGGTCAGGATAGGATTGTTGGTGCCAGAAGTCACGGCAGCACTTACGGCCGACTCCAGTCGCTCATCCTGAGCGCCCGGAAAGAGGTTTCGCTGCTCCAGAAGCTTGTGCATCTCCTGATGGGCATCCAATAGATAGAAAACATTGTACAAGTTGATCGCGCAATCGATATAGTAAAATACAAACAAAATAGCCGACGCCATCAGTCCAAGCTTCGACCAAGTCTCTGTCATGCCACTGTACTTGTATAAGCTAAACAGTACGTAGATGTTTGCCACGCTGCTCAGATAATAGGTGAGACACAGGCATAAAATTTGTAGTTCATAAATCTTCGACATGCCCTCGATCAGCGCCTGTACTTCGGATTGGGTTTGGGCGATTTCATCCAATCGATCGGCCAGGAAACAGCATTTCGTGATAAAGACCCCATTTCGACGCTTCCGCCTAGGTCCCAGAGACTGGGCCTCGCCAAGCAAAGCTCTAAGCTTCCTGTTTATAAGTATGTAATGGCCCCGCGCATTTCCCAGGCCAAAGAAATACTGCGTTATGGCTACATTTATAATGGCGGTCACAGTCATTACACCCCAGATGCCAAGCAGCAATGCAAAGCTGAGCTTGTCCCGCACCATCAAGATGGCCACCAAAAACTGCATAATCTCGGCCACAGAGCCTACAATGCACTTTGAGATGAAGCCACGGCGGCAGACCCGCATAACCTCGGGGTTCTTCAGGAACAGGCGGCGAAAAGAGCTGATGAGTCGTATGTACCGACGACGATGATACCAGCGACTTGCCAAGGCAGCTAGAGCGCAGGATACGCGCAGGTATGAGACGATCAAGAAGACACTTTCATGCAGCGAACTGATATTTTTCCACAGTTCAGACGTTATTTTGCTTGGCCTAAAGTGGTGCGCCAGGATGGATATCAAGAACAGGCTTGCAAATGCTGAATAGATGGTTGCTCTTCTTGTAACGCGCGTTCTACCCGTCTCCAAGTCGACTTCAAAGTTAAGCGTACCGGTAAAGCGTCCGTATAGGTAGCCGATGCGCACACAGAATTTCACTAGGTCTACCATTGCGAAACAATAAATGTTAACTGGTTTTGTCTGGACTGTACTTGGGCGGAGGCTAATGAACTGATTTTTGGCCGTGATCCATTAGGGAAAGTGATGAAAGCAGACTATCTAGAATCAGTAAATTTATTGAATGAGTTTAGGCTGTGGTGTATCCATGAACAGTACGTATAGATAGTGAAATGCAGGAGCTAATCTGAGTGTGTAGTAATGATTGTTCCTTCTGATATTTTCATGAAATAGGAACGACTTCGTAACCGCACAGCATTTTATAGAAAAACTATTATTCCAATGATTTCATTGTACTCCCCCCTATGCGTGTTACTCGACCACAGATTGATTGTGGTACCCCCACATGACCTACCCTCTGGGCGAAAGTCTGTGCAGAGTGTTAAACATCTTGTGTTTGCTTCTTGTTTGCAGTTTGATTCCACAGTTCATAGCTTGACAAACATGGCCCTATTTCGAGAGGACAAAGATGTCAGCGACGACGAGGACGAGGATGAGGAGGAGGATAAGGATGGTGCTGCTGATGTTGCACCAGCGAAATTCTATGCCCGTAGAATGTTTACTCAACACTTATTTTTAGTGAAAAGCCCGCAGCAGCAGCATAGCTGCGTGGTATAGGTATAACCCTCTCTGAAAGGCACACATAACTGAAACTGAAACTTCGACGTGCACTCGTCACTCCCCGTTCTCAAGTGCATATTAAACACAGCACAAGAAAGCGAGAGGAAGCCCCTCAGGTCGCCATCTGTGGCTGATGTCAGCGATGTCTCAAGAGTTTGCCAAAGTGCCAAAGGCCATCCAACCAAAATGCAAGTGTCGCTCAGTGTCAGTCCTGCTTTAAATATCATCGGAAATTGTGTCCGGCCAACTAACTGGGTCTTTAATTTTAAATTATTGTGGCCACAGCACCAGGCTGGGAAATCCGAATGAATTTTTATAGTTTTGCATTTGTCATGCTGTCAAATGGAAGGATACGACAAAAAATGTGACAACTGCAACAAAAATGCAATTTCGCGCATGGCGGGTGTCAAAAATGTTGTGAATTTAGGCGACAAATCAAATTTCATAAAAAACCAAACACACACACACCAACACACATACAGATTCGCATCTCACAAATGCGACCGCCATGGAAAAACAGGAAACGGATGCGGATTGAAAATGGTTTCTGATTGCATGGAAATGCATGCAGCACTCAACCAGAATGTGTTGCATAGCTGCGGGTGGCACCAGAAATCGCATGACGTCGGACAGTTGATTAAGGATAATTCCGTTATTATATCATTGAATCGAAATAGGATAGCATAAACAGGAGGATGCATAAATGCCAGTCTAATTATGTATCATAGACTTTCAACACTGGCAGAGCCAGCTAAATATAACTTTTAGCATTTTTCAGACACTCCAAGCAAAATTTGTATACAGTTCAAACGTTTGCCTAGAAAAGCTTCAGTCTCTTCTTGACATTTATGAAACTTTGCTGCCTGCTACCCGAGTCGACTCTTTGACATTCGTATAAAGTTGCCGAAGTCATCTTGAAAATTGAATTCCCTGCAACTCGAGTGCAGACGCCATTAATTAATATAAATGACGACAGTTTCTAATGTTTATCCTCGCGCTGGTGCTCAAAACTACCTCCTAATCACCATCTGCGGCGTCTACACTCACATCCTCGTGTGGCTGGCTGAGGGACAACCACATTCACATCACCGTTTTTTGGTTTGGTACGGGGGAAAATGTCGCGTTTGTGTGGGCGAAGAAACATGCCGCGTTTGTTGGATGTCATTAAAAAAAAATGAAGCAAAAGTACCTCTTACATTACAACCCATAATTTTCGCATATTAGTCGGGAGTTGTGTCGAGTGGAGGGGACTCGACTGGCAGTAGACTCTGTGCGGGAATCATATGCACTTGACATGCAATTGCGTGCCAAGAGCCTCCCCTGCCCCAGCGAAGGACGAATGCCGAAGAACGTTGGCAAATTCGCCTGGTTGAAAATTAAAACATTATTCATAAGCAGACATCGAAGGGGACTGCTGCGATGGCGGAAACCAAGGATACCCCACTAATGGCATGCTACCCGAATCCCCACCGCCCACCCTGTCTGGGTGGATGCAGCGAGGGGGACCTCTGTCTGGCCGTTGCTTGTACAACTATTCAGGCACTAACGAGTCCGAAGCTTTGGTAATTGTAAACTACGTGCCCACAGCTTAGTCGTCTGGGGCTCCAGGTCGCTGCCATCTCTCTGTGGGTTCGAGTGGCTTCGAGTGGCTTCGAGTGGCTTCGACATCTTGAGTGGGCCTGAATGTAATCAAGAGCGATATCAGCGACTCCCGTGTGAGTTTCTAATGAACTGGCGTGCCAGAGGTTCTTAGTTCTTTGCTTCTGGTCCAATTTATTGAGCCATAAAGGTGTCAAAACGTCTACTCTTCTCACCTTACAGCCATATTCGTTCATTGTGAATAATTAAGAAGACATTTGCGTGTGGCTATCATTTCGGCCTCGGGTTTCCCTTCCAGGCATCGCCATAAAAAAATCTCATTAGCCCAAATGTGTATCATAATGACTTTCCATTTGCCTTTACCACGGACTCTTCTCCTCTGAGATGGTTTCTCTACTTCTCCTTTTTGCAATGTTTGAATTGGATTTGGTAATTCATTAAATGAATAAAGGTAAATGAATGAACATGGGAATGGGAATCGGATTGGGTATGGGGTTAGGTTTCTTTGGTTAATCATTAACTGGAGGATTAGAGCTGCTGCTTGGCAAATCATTAAGGAGTTTACTTTTGATTTCGTTTTAGTTCAGCTTTGAATGAGGATTTCACACACATACTGCAATAAATCCTATTTTAATCCCATTAGGAACTTATGCCAACAACATTTTAAACTAACTTTACGGCGTTCTTAAATTTTCAGGATATTTTGTGAATTTGACCAAAAATTACAGATTTCAAAACACTGTTAAGGAGTCTCGTATTTTCGCCGTTTTATATGCATTAGCTTCATCATCATTAGCCGAAACCCTATACCCTGCCACGTTCTTTTATCCCCGGAGGCGTGTCTGCTTTAATTACATGCTAATTATCCAAAACTGACTCGGCAGAATTAAGCATAATGAATTGCACTTATTCGTGTTGTATCATTTTTGTGGACCCTATCCCTCTGCGTCTGTGTGTGGGTCTGATTAATTTCGCTTTAAAAAACAACCCAAAAACATATCTTCTTTTCTTATCGAATAATGAACGCTGTAGAACTGACTCAAGTCCATATGTTATGGGGTTAAAGGAATGCAATAAAGGAGGAATAAGCAGTCAGAAGTGAGTAAAATTCACAGCCGAAATGGGATCAAGTTGTGGTTAGACTTGGGCTCGAGTTCTTGTCCGGACATGGCTTCTGTTCGATTTGCGATGCTTTTGTGGTCATTGTGAAGGATGTGGCTCTGTGGACCCTTTTCAGGCATCGTGTGAAATATGCGGAGCACTCGGAACACTCTTTCTACTTCTGGTCCTGCTGGAAACTTTTGTTGTTTGTTGGTCAAATTGTCGTAAATTAGTTTTAACACCTGACTGAGTGGCTTTCGAGTATCTGTGGGTGT